TTTTTGTCAAGGTGGAGAAATGCGCGTTTCATGCACAGTCTGTTCCCTTCCTAGGGTACATCATCTCCTCTGAGGGAGTGCGCATGGATCCTGATAAGGTTAAGGCTGTGGTAGATTGGCCAAGTCCAGATTCCCGTAAGGCCCTACAGCGGTTTCTGGGGTTCGCCAATTTTTACCGGCGTTTCATTCGTAATTTCAGCCAACTAGTCGCACCTCTGACTGCCTTGACCTCCCCCCGAACGACGTTCAGGTGGTCGAACACTACCGAGGCAGTGTTCACCAACCTCAAGAGTCGCTTCGTTTCGGCTCCCATTCTTGTCACCCCTGATCCCACACGTCAGTTCGTGGTGGAGGTTGACGCGTCAGAGGTGGGAGTAGGAGCAGTGCTTTCACAACGCGCTTCCTCAGACGACAAGATGCATCCCTGCGCGTTTTTTTCTCATCGACTATCGTCTGCCGAACGTAATTATGACATTGGTAATAGAGAGTTGTTGGCAGTTAAGTTAGCGTTGGAGGAGTGGCGTCATTGGTTAGAGGGTTCGGGGGTACCCTTTATCGTTTGGACCGACCATAAGAATCTTGAATACATCAGATCTGCTAAAAGACTCAACTCCAGGCAGGCTCGGTGTGCTCTTTTTTTCGGACGTTTTGATTTTGTTCTCTCGTACCGCCCCGGGTCCAAGAACATCAAACCCGACTCTTTATCTCGTATTTTTGATCCATCCGAACGCCCGGTGACTCCCGAGTGTATTTTACCTGAGAAAGTTGTCATCTCCACTCTGGTATGGGAGGTCGAATCGAAGGTCAAGACAGCCTTAGAAGGGGTAACACCTCCGCCTGGTTGCCCACCGAGTCGTTTGTTTGTTCCGGAGGGGTTACGGTCCGACGTTATTCGATGGGGTCATTGCTCCAACGTGGCTTGTCATCCAGGAGTGACTCGCACCAGTTTTCTAGTTAAACAACGATTTTGGTGGCCATTGATGGCTCGCGACATTCATGATTTTGTTTTGGCTTGCTCAGTCTGTGCCACTAGTAAGACATCTAACCAACCCCCAGACGGGTTACTTCGACCGCTGTCTGTCCCTTCGAGACCCTGGTCCCACATCGCTCTAGATTTTGTCACCGCCCTCCCGCCCTCCAAGGGCATGACGGTTGTTTTAACCGTAGTGGACCGGTTCTCGAAGGCGGCACATTTCATTCCCTTGCCCAAATTACCTTCAGCCAAGGAGACAGCGGTCACTGTCATAGATCACGTTTTTCGGTTACATGGCCTCCCGATGGACGTGGTCTCTGACAGGGGTTCCCAATTCGTATCCAGATTTTGGCAAGAGTTTTGTAGATTGCTGGGGGCCACGGTCAGTCTGTCTTCGGGCTATCATCCCCAGAGTAATGGCCAGTCTGAGCGAGCCAATCAGGACCTCGAAAGAATGTTGCGATGTTTGGTTGCCAAGAATCCGTCGTCCTGGAGCCAACAGCTTTCTATGGTGGAGTACGCCCACAATTCATTACCAGTGTCATCCACGGGCCTCTCGCCGTTTAAGTGTAGTTTAGGTTACCAGCCACCAATTTTTCCGAGTCTGGAATCCGAGGTCGCGGTCCCCTCCGCTCACGCATTCGTCCAGAGGTGCCACCGTACTTGGACTAGAGCCCGTGAGACTCTACTCCAAGCAGGGAGGCGCATGAAGGCCAAGGCCGATCGCCACCGGTCAAAGCCTCCCGTTTACGTCGTGGGTCAAAAAGTGTGGCTTTCTACCAAGAATATTCCTCTCCGCTCCGTGTCTAACAAGTTAGCTCCCAAATTTATTGGCCCGTTTCCTGTCACCAAGATTATTAGTCCGGTGACAGTCCGACTCAAACTCCTCTCCTGCGTACAGGAGAATTCACCCCGCCTTCCATGTGTCTAAGATTAAGCCCGTGTTTCGTTCTCACATTAATCCGCCTGCTCCGGTTCCCCCCCCCGCCGCGACTCGTAGATGGGGAACCCACATATTCGGTAAACCGCATTCTGGACTCGAGACGGAGGGGACGCGGATTTCAGTACCTGGTGGACTGGGAGGGTTACGGTCCGGAGGAGAGAAGTTGGGTACCTGCTAGAGACATCCTGGATCACTCCCTTATCGATGATTACAATCGACAGGTAAGGGAGTCTGAGAACGCCAGGAGGCGTTCTTAGGAGGAGGGGTACTGTCACGGTTTATGAATCGGCTGTCTCATGCTGAAGTGTCTGCGTGAGTGTAATTGAGTGGGTGTGGTTACTCGTTGTGTTGATTAGTGTCACCAGCTGTCAGTCATTCCAGTTCCCTTTATATACCCAGCAAATTCTCTCTCTTGTTGTCAGATCGTTGTGGTTGTTCCCCCGGTGTGTTTCCTGTGCTCGTGCCTCGTCTGTTCTGTTCCTCGTCTGGAGTTCGTCAGTTCCTCGTGTCGTCTGGATTTCTTCGTGTCATCTGGATGTTTCACAGTCCCTGGGTTTCACTCGAGCACGCTGTCACCTGTTCTACCACCGGATCGCCATCTCGTCCCTGCTTCACTGACCATCTGAGTGTTTGTCCCCGATCTGTGCCTTCATCATTGTTACTTCTGACTATATCCATTAAACTGAGTTTTACTTGCAATTGCATCCTCCTGTTATTTCCTCACAGAAGTTCTCCTTTATGAAGAATGCGCCATTAATCAATAGTTGTATCATCGTGACATGTTCATGTGATTTTACCTTGGCTAAATCTCCGATATAATCCCGAATTATTCTGGAACTCTTTCTCAGCCTGAGCCAGGCTGTATTTTGCAGCTCTGCGGCGAGGAAAGTGGAGAGCGGGCCACTTCCAGAAACTCTTTTTGCTCTTTTTCTCCTCTCTCCCTCCATCAATGTCACCAGCCCCAACAAGCATCTCATCAAGCCGATGAGGATGGTTATCTGCCGTGTTGGTGGTGTATTTGAGAAGTACACAGGGTTCGTGTACACACTCCACGCATGGCCGTAGCCAGCTATGAGGTCACCGAGGTCCGGACCTCGGTCATTTTTTTTACATTCAAAAATAAAATGTCAAGCTCTCTGAATGATTAATTAGCAGTGTTTAAACCACCTCATATGAGTGTTTGCAATTCATGTTGCTGCGAGAAGCTGGCGCAGTGAACTGAACGGGGCTTGAGAGCGCGTTGTGAACGCGGGTGCAGCCTCCGTGTTGCCAGATCCACCTAATAGAAAGGTGGCAGTAGTCACCTGTTTTTCTGATTTAATGTGACACTTTAGGAAGTTATTAATGTGGAAAGGTTTAGTGATATATTAACCTTATTTCCAAAACACAAGCTTTGAACTTATTTCGGATTATTATTATTATTTTGTTTTGCTTGTTTTTCGTAGCAATATCTGGCAACATTTAACTGTCGGCATTAATACATTTAAAAAAAAAGAAGCTTATAGACAAACTGTAATTGCATAAAGCTACCACATTCGGTAAGACAAACGCAATGACAATCGATTATCTGTAAGAAATGTATAACACTATCAAAAACAATAGCATAAAACAGATCTGTATGTTAGCCTACAGAATGAAATTTGCCAAATAACTTACTGGCCAGCTGGAAGACGGCTCATGCTGTTTAGTTAACCTTTCACAAAGCCATCATAAAAACATTAATTAAAGCAGTGTTTCTCAACTAGCAATCTATTCAGTCAGCATATTTGTGTTTGATCTGTGTGAATTTCGTCCGAATTTGACGAGTGATTAAAAGATGGCTAATTCGTAACAGTTCGTACGACCTCACTCGTACGAATTAGTACGATTTTTGCTAAAACGTACATATTTGACGAGTTGCCCAATTCGTATGAATTCGTACGAATGACCCTGACCCCGCCCCTAAACCTACCCATCACGTGGGTTTAGACAAATGTACAAATTCCTACGAATGAGGTCGTACGAATTCGTACGAATTAGCCATCTTTTAATCACTCGTCAAATTCGGACGAATTGGTCGTGAGATTGCGTTGCACTTGCTAGACCTACTTTTTCTTTGCACAAAACTCTCCAGAAAGTGCCATTTTGGTTTATTTTTCACAAAAAAATCCCGGGGGGGCAAACCCTCGGACCCCCCTAGTGAGAGACTACCCCACACATAATTAAATCCAAATTTAACCCCTGTATATATATATATATATATATATATATATATATATATATATATATATATATATATATATATATATATATATATATATATATATGCCAAATTCCATTAAAAAAAAGGGTCACAGCTTAATGTCCATTGGGAAATGTGGGTCCAATGGCCAAACCATTATTATAGCAAAATTCTTTACACAACACCCCGGACCTCACTAATTTTCAAACCCTGGTTACGGCCTTGACTCCACGTCCAGCGCTATGTTCGGTCGTGAACTTAGCTGTCCCATGATAACAACTTTGTCACTCTGATAACAGATAATCCAAAGCTTCTACCTACAAAATGAGCAAGTGACTTTCATGGCTTAATATAGACTACTATAACGTAGTCGTAACACGTTCTAAACGTGACGTCACAATAGCTCGCGCTAGAGGCGCTGAATAATGAATGAGAAAAAAAAGATTGATATTGCGTCACGACTCACGTGCTTTTAAATGATTGAATTCAAATCAAATTGTATATATTGTATAAGTATCAAATATAATACTTGATATTAATTATATAATTTGTGTCAGCGGTAAAATATAGTTTTCGACACGTTAAAGCGATACCCAGATAGCAAAATTTGTCTGGCCCACCTCCTTGCTTCAATTCTGGCCCAGTTCTGGCTGGGTCCCCGGCCCAAAACTGGCACAACACACTGACAACGGACTCAAACAACTTCCTCTGGCCCAGATGTGGCCCACACCCTGTAAAATGACTCTTATTTATTGATATGGCCCAGTTCTGGCTCAGGCACTGTATAAGACGGATCTGGCTGAGAGTCGGCTGGGTCCCCGGCCCGGATGTGGCTCACAAACTGGCAGACAGTGAAACACAAATTCAACCATTTAAAAAGGGTTTTTATTATAAAATTAACAAATACACTTCAATATAAACATATATTAACAATGAACAAAATAAATATTTAACAACACAATTTTTAAACAAAATAATAAGAAAATTAAATTTATTATATATGATTAAAAGAAAAAACATTCTCTTTCACTCACAAACTCTCATTCTTTAACACTAAATAAATTCCTTTTGCAAATGTCAAGTCACCATTAAATATATAGCCCTATACAGTAATGACTGTTTCAAAGCAGCTTTACATGGTTAAACAGGAAAATGATCAATGATGCAAACAGAGTTAAATTTGGCTGTAAAGCTGCTCTAAAAAGAAAATAGTGTCATTGTTCAGCTGAATTCAGCTGTGTTGATTCAGTTCTGTTAAATAACTGTATAAAGTATATCAATTATAAAAAGAGTCCATTTTCATTATTAAGCAGCTCTGCAGAAAACAGTGATGTCATCATCCAGCTCAGTTCAGTTCTCATATAATGGTGTCAATGCAGGCTGATCAGTATTAAGAATAAGTGTCCCCAAATAAGCAAGCCAGAGGCGACAGTGGCAAAAACCCAAACTCCATCAGTGACGAAACGAAGAAAGAAAAACCAGGCTGAGTCGGGGGGCCAGTTCTCCTCTGGCCAAACAACGAACACGGTGTGTGTTAGGATTCCAGGCTGCTTCACCAGTCAGATTGTGGATTGATATCATTCAGAGTATTTTATTCAGCTCCTTTTCCTTGAAGATTGGAAAAGATTACACCAAGGTAAAAGAGTAGCAAAACTCGAGAGCATCTTGATGTGAAATTGAGAACTTGTAAAAATATTTGTACTTGTACAAAAAAATTAACACTCAGAAGCTCCAATGAGAAAACCCTATATTAGGCAACGTCTCAAATCTGCCATTGCAATTTTTTGAATTGCCCCGCCTTTCTCTCACCGCCACTCAGTTTGCAAATGCACAAGTTAGTTACGCATCTAATATATTGCGAAAAAAGTTGCAAAGTCAATGCGTGAAGATTTTAAATAGCAATGGCAGATTTGAAAAGTTGCAAATGCCTAATTGAGGTTGTATTGCGAATGTGAATGAATGAATACAAGTTTGTGTCTGTCACTGTATTTCTGTGAAAGGCATTTTACACATTTGTGACTACTTGTCTGCAGCTTCAAATTCAGAATATACAGGTTTGTGACTATTGTCTGTGAGTGAAAATCTCAACATTTAACAGGTTTTCAAGTACAAATATCGATCTGTTCTCCAGTTTTGCTCCTCCTTTACCTTCATAAGATCACGCCGGCATCGGTGGGAGGGGAGTTAAAGCTGGCCGTTGGGTCTGTGTGGTGGACTGGTCTGTTTCTCTGGATCTGATCCGATGACTGTGCCGAGGACTGTTGTGTCAACGAGGTCTTCACAGGCGTTTGTTTCTAGGTCTTGTCTAGTGATGTTCTCGTCTGGCATTCAGGCTGTTGTAGTCATCTTAGGGTGCAGGTCCACCATCTGGTCTGGATGCAGACTAGATCCGGATGACTACATCCTAACCTTGGGATCAGAATGAGACAGAGAGACTAACATTAAAATAGATGCCATTCTGAATCAGAATCAGAAAGAGCTTTATTGCCAAGTGTGCTTGCACACACAAGGAATTTGTTTTGGGGCTGAGGCTTCCAGTGCACATATACAAATACAACAAGAAACATAGTAATACAAATTATAAAAAAAAAAATTTAAATATAAGAAATATGAGAATAAAAGTATCACAGTTGGGATTAGTCAGGATAAGCATTTCTTCTTCTTCCGATGTAACAAGTACATTTGGTGTAAGCTACCTTTAACGGATGTGAATTATAGAAATGTGGGAGTGTGTTATGTTTATGCTCGGTTAAGGAGTTGTGTTTTTAATATATTTTTAAACTTATCTTGTGTCTGCCCCTCGATCTGCTGCCATTTCATGGATCCCTCGATCTCCATTTCAGCAACATTAGCCATGAGGGTTTCTCTGAACTGCATCTTTTAAATAAAGGAATACATAATGTGAGGTCAATATTAAATCTTAAGCATTCGTTTTTTAAGCACATTTGTTTGACAAATGTTGTTGCCAGAGTTCACGCAGCAGTTTAAAATATTGGTAACACTTTATAACACCTACAGTAAGTAACATTAACCAATACATATGTTACAGTATTTATTAATCTTTGTTAACATTAGTTAATTAAAATACAACTGTTCACTTTTGATTTAATAATGTATTAGGAAATGTCAAAATGAAAATGAACTAAGATGAATAAATGCTTATTGTGCATTCTTAATCCATGTTAACTAATGTAACTTAGTTAACTTATTTAACGAATGAAACCTTATTGTAGTAGTTTTACCAAAAAATCTGTAAAAAGTGCTGGTGTCAGATTCCAAATCCAAACAGTGCGTTCAGATGAAACTTCAGTTTATGTTCGCTTAACGTTAGTCATAGTAACGTTATCATCACCACTGCAGTAAAAATGTTAAGAGAACTACAATTTTAATGACATTATACAGAGATATACACTTTTATATTTTTCTTTCAAAAGTGCTGCTCTAAAAGCAGATTACGTATTCAAAAACACAAGACGTGCCAATCAATGAATTAAAAAGCTGCACTATTTTGCAGCTTCTCTTGCGTATCCATAACTCTTTTCCGTTTCGGAGTTCCCCACAGGCGTGTTAAAACCAAATAAATCATATTTTTAATTTCAGATTGTACACGTTATCTCCGCGGGTGTAACTGCAGCAAGTGGTGGTCAGTGTAGTTTGATTCGATTCACAAATATATATGACTCTTTAGAAATGTTAGTGAATCAAATCAGAAAGAGTCGCCTGTAGAGACCTATGCACCGAAAGCGTAGTCCGACTCCTATGATTCGATAACTAATCACTCGTTGAAAAAGACGAATTGACTGATTAATTTTAGCAAACAAAATGGAATATAAATCAATATCATTTCATTAGCCAACATTACAGTGCACTGGATACAGCACAGCAGTTTTTCTAATAAAAAAAGTAGCAATCATCCTAAAAAGCGACTCTCATCCTAACGTTAGGCCTAACGTTAACGTTAGCTTCTCATCAACACTCCCTCCGGGACTGAATGGGTATTCTGAAGTTACGCACTTGTCATCGCAAACATCTAGATATTAAACACTATTTTTATCTTGACAATTTAAACATCAAACAACTCTAGAACAATAAATGAATTAAATTACTTACTCGTGTTTGCAGCTGAATGATTCCTCTCGATAACGTTGGTCTGCTTCTGCACTGCAGGATCTTCCTCAGGATTTAAATTAACCGCCGAAACCTTTTTTCAGCCGGCTGAGTTCCTTAATTCTAGTAGTGGCCCGCTTGTGACAAAACTAAATCGGGCCGATGGTAAATACACACAGTTACACCGAGCATACCTGACACCTGTGCAACTGCTTTCAGCCGATACTGGCCCATACAGAAAACGCCGTAAGTCAGCATAATGTTATGCACAGTCGGCAAGGATCTGGCCCAGTATCTGTTCACCGATGCCGACAGTGAGCCAACACTGACGCATTTCAGCCAGAATCGGCCCAACTGTGCTTGCTATCTCCAATGACAGCGGGAACTGCTTGAGAGTCAAGGCGCAATAAACCACAAAAAATAACCATCTTGGCCGTCTTAGCGTATATAGCCCCAAACTATAAAGTTTGAACAAAGCTATGTATAAAGAATTTCTAACATCAGGCCAATGTGAGTCTGCTTAACAAACACGAAATACATAAAATATAAAATACGAAATGTATTGGGTCTTAAAGAGACAGCAGCCTTAACTGCTGCTGTCTGTCCTTGATGTTAATCAAACAACAAAAGCAAATCAAAAATTACTCACTACTCTTGACTGAATAACTTTAGTATTTTTAATTCATACTGTGAAGGCTGTGTTTTTATATTCTATTTTTCAACTTACTTCTATGCCCTTGCATCGTCTAAGTGGATTCTGCACTGGTGGTGGTGGTTTAGGAGAGACTTGACATGATTGTAAAGTGCTTTGGGTGTACAGTAGTACAGGAAATGTGCTATATAATTACTTTATTCATTCATTCATACATCGCTGATACAGCGTATTATTAGGGGTCCAAGCACCGAAGATCATGGAACCCTATGTGTTTGTACTGATTTGTACTTCATTATTTTTCTGACCTAAAAGTGTATAGGCGTCAGAGGCCGTAAATTGTTGAGACCCCAAATTTAACAGGATGGTCCCAATCATGCACCACACGCATATCTGACACTAGGTGGCGCTATAAAAAGGTGATTTGCGTTTTGGGTCATACCTTTGGAACACTAAAGGGCTAGAAATAATTTTATGAGTCGATTTAATTTTCATTTCATAACAATTCTCCGCTATTTGGAATTTTCTGAAAAACCTTCACAAAATAAGTTACACAGCAGCTAGGGAAAGCTATAGGTGCTGGTAAAAAATTATCAAATGAATTGAAATGTCCCTGCTTTTCTTTTGTTGTCAATGTTACTCATCATTAATTGATTAATTATTCCCCCACCTGTGCCTTATTTTCCTCCTCAGTTACACTTTGCATTTATAGGCCTCAGGTTTAGTTGTTCTTTGTCCATTCTTGTTGGTTCTCAGTGGTTTGTTTTCTTGTTTGCCTGTTTCTTTTTCGATTTTGTGTTAATAAAAGATACTGGTGCAACTAAATCCTGCCTCAACTCTCCCTCGTTGCAAACCATATTGGCACTAATTTTGAGAATGCACACAAAGTTGCATCAAAATTGCACCTATAGGGGGCGTTACAACAGAAAATATCTGTATAACCGGTGGTTGAAAATTGGTGTGCATATTCTTTGGGGGACGTCCTAACATAATTACTAATGTAAAAAAGCTGGTCTGCCAGGAGCCAATCAAATTTCAACCACTAACCACATTAAATCTGAATGTGTACCAAATATGGTGGAAATCTGCAACAAGGAGGCGATATTGTAAGCAGCAAGTGTGTTTTTTTTTTCTGAATCTTGAGCTCTAACAAGTATCTCATATTGATGTTTGTGTAAAATGTATTCTCCATTTTAATTTTCTGAAAACCATATTTTGTCAAACTCCTCCTTATAGGCCTTGAGTCAGATCTGCTCTAGACCAAGCTGAAAACATATTTGTCAAGTGGCCAAAAATGACATTGTATTGCGGTCCAATAAAAAGAAAAACAGTTTACATTTTATTATGCTTGGCACCGATTCCTACCGTCTGTATCTGTACTATCTATTTTCTTTTGTATAGTCAAAAGAAAAGGAGATTAATAAAAAATAATAAAGCAGTGCATTGTCATACACGTCATTCATTTACTAGTGAAGTCCAGTGCCATCCTAAGGATTTTGTAATTGCAATTAATGAACATAATGTATAAAATAGTCAATACTATCATACTACAGTTCTTGACCAATAAGAATGTGATATCGGTTACAGAATAAACGGCCAGCAGAAAGCAGTTTTTAACCCATCAAGACAAAAAAGAAAAGAGAAAAGAAAACTAAAGTTCCCTACGTGGATTCATCAGTTACTCTTAATCGTTCTCTTAACACAAACTGCTTAAATTTAGAATAGAAACTGTTCAAAAACGTTATGAAATTGTTGGTTATGCAAAAAACTGTCTGGTAAATGTGTTGTCAACACCTTCCAAACTGCTTACTCGATGCAAAAAAACAAAAACACTTAAATCTCAAATCTATTTTCAGCAATTAATCAAACAAGACGTGTAACTTTGACTTAAAATGACCAAAGAATAATTTTAGCCTAGATATGAAAGATTCAAATTCAACAATAAAAGCACAACAGGTACTCTTTTATTGTTCGTTCAAATTTATGTGGCTAACAAGTCAATAATTACAAAGATTTCAACCTGTGATTCTTTTCTTTTTTCCTTTTAAAGTAAAAGCAGTAGTGTTCTGAGGATAAACTTCCATCTGATGAAGCGGACAAGGGAAGAAGGTACAGGTAAAACCATTCACACAAAATTATTTCCTTGGACAAAAAAAAAAAATGTGCAAGTGTTTTACAGTATTTCAGAAGGGTGGGGGACAACATAATACATTACCGTCAGCCTCGTCAAAACCACTGAAATGCTTTAGCGGACAGTTTATTACTGAAATGGAAGTTGGCACTGAAGGCACACTTGAGTGATAATGGATATGCCGGCCATGCATGCGGATCTCAAGCATGTCAACACACACACTCATATCAGCGTTCCGATAGGAGTCTTTAACAGTGACGGTCCCACATGGCTGCTCGCATGTGTCAAACATCATAAACCAGAATCAGAGCATGGCTATGGTGAGATAACCTTATCACACATATATTTTTTTACTTTTATTTTTAAATAGAGCACACAAAGCAGCAGTAGCAGCTTAAGATGAACTACTGAAATCCTATGAATAGTTGTAGCTGTGTGCCGTTCTCTTTTGTATTCTTATTAAAAAACACTTATCTATATGTAAAGTCTTCATTTTTGTCGCTTTCTTTTTTCTCCGGGTGATACGCTGAATTAGATATCTTTGTGGGAAACATCTAAGTTAAAACATGAATATTATAAAGGCTGGTTTAAATGAAGAACTGGAGAGATAGAGAGAAAGAGGAATTATATGACAATAAAAGTGCCCTCTGGTTTGGCTTTAAACCCCTAAAGTCTCTGTCACCGATCTATTGCTCATGTGAGATGAGGCGAGACGTTTCACGGGTCGAATCATGTTATGGGTCATACAAGAAAGTCACAGTCCTATATCATCCTCGGTTCCTTTCTTCCTGATACGCTCCTCTCTTCGGCCCCCTGGCCTTTATGAGTGTTCCTGATAATATACATTTAAAAACAGCATAAGAAGTCTCTTTCTGAAGGGAAGCTACGAATCCAGAAGCAATTCTGACACAGCAGATGCAATGCATGTTCATTTACTAAAGTAAAAAAATTGCAATTAAAGATTTAAAATAAAATAAAAGTCCATTATACTAATCTGACCCAGTTAGTGTAATACCATTGACATTTCCACCAGGGGGCAGGCTTTTATATTGTATCTTTTTCTTTTCTTTTCTCGGTGGCTCTGACACGCTCAGGTGTTTCGTCTAAGCCTGCCAGCACAAACCCAACACGTTCCACTTGTGGCGATTGATGCGTCTACCCAGCAGCAGGATTTAGGGTAAACCTTCGGCCTTTGTGTTGAGTGAGCAGGTGACTTGGAAGAGTCTTGGCACTTTTTAGTGAGTCCTAGCTGAGCAGATTGATTGGGGGGTGGGGGGTTGCCTAGGGTGTGTGCAGGGTGAAAAAGAGGGAGTTGTCCTTTTTCAGCCGTCCAGTGATTGATCCAGGCTGTCCAGAGTGAGCTGACTGCGGTGGGGAGAGTTGGGGCTCGGGGGGCTGCTGGGGTTGGAGCTGTTGGAGGGGGTGGAATGTTTGGTCGAGTCAGAGTCGGGCTACAACAAGGATAAAGAAGAAGAAAAAAACCAAAACAAGATTAGCAGATCAGTTTCTTGTTAACTAGTTAGTTTTCAAATTCTTGCAAAGTATAAAATACCTAGTGGGTTTTTACAGAAATGTTGCTATTGTTACGTCAAAAAAAAAGAAAAAAGAAATTGAATACAGCTCAAATAAAATATTAAATTAAAAACTTCAACTTTAACTTGAAAGTAAACTTGAAATAATAAAAATGACAAAATAACTAAGTTAAGGGTGTAACGATACCCTCATGTCACGATTCGATACATATCACGATACTGAACTTACGATGTGATATTATTGCGACACTCCAAGACACATGATAAAAGGTTAACAAAAAATGTACTGTTGATTAAAATGCTAAATTTGATATTACATTGTGGGTGTAAATGAATCGACTTGGATTTGGTGTTGGTAACCCAATGCACAGGACAATGGTGACACTGGAATGAAAATATTCATGATTCTGAAGCTGAACATACAGAATTATTTTAGACGAATATGCTTGCATTCTGTCACTGACTAGATATATTTATAATAAAGTAGGCAACTTTTTTACACAATTATTCCCCTATTGCATTATTATACATTATCTTCAACATTATATATAGTAGTTGAATGTGGTACTGACACTAAAACTCTGAAAACTAGAAATTTTTCCTCACACAGTAATTTTGATTTTTGGGTGAACCATCAATGATACATTTTGGTCACTACTATCCACGATACGTTGCATTTTTTGTATTGCGTTATATTGTTACACCCCTAAAAGCACAACTAATTTACTAAATCTTATATTGAAACAATTCAAAATATTGATAATAGTACATAAATACTACTAAAATAACACTGGTTTACAGCTGTAGTACGTATTACTGCGAGAACTGGGGCAGTTATTGCAGACCACAAAATTAGGACACAAGAAAACTCGCTCAGTAGCCGAAAGCTCCTCTAACCATCCATCATGTCACCTCAAGCGGCGAGTGAATTAAATCCATATTTAACATCACTGGGGAGGTCATTAAGTTCGTACCTCTCTGTCATAGTCTTGATCTTGATCAGAAATACTCCGAGATGACCCTGCTCCTCCAAAATCTCCTCCTC